ACTAGAACAGCTAAAATTTAAAAGACCATTAGTACCTAGTATTGGACAAGAAATAGAGCAAGTGTAACTTTGATGCATTGTTGGGAGTATAAGCCAGTACAAATACCTTGGAAAATAGGAATTATTTACAAATGTTGAACAGCTATTTCTCTTCTGGGTATTTGTCCCACAAAAATGTATGCACATAACACCAAAAGATATGCATAAGAATGACAAAAAGAATCTCAAATATTTATCAACACATGAATGAATAAACAAACTTGTGTTATGTTTTCACAAGGAAATACTACACAGCAATGAAAATGAAATAACATGGATAAATCTCATAAATAGAATGTTGAAAGAAACAAAAAAGAACATGTAATGTTTGATTTAATCTGCACTTCAGTTCCAAATGAGCAAGATTATGCCCCTGAAAATGAAGCAAGAGGTAGTAACTGGGCAGGAACACAAGGGGGCTTCTGGGAGTCCTATTAATGGCCTATATCTTGACTTTGGTGATGGTTATATACTTGAATCCACTTTTGTGTTCATCAAGCAACACCCTTAAGATCTGTGCCGTTTTCTTCATGTAAGGCATACTTCAAAAAAAAAAAAAAGTTAAAATATTTGCACAGACATGAATGAACTGATGGTAGGGGTGTCCTGCATGTCAGTAAAATATTCCAAGGGTCTCCCAATCCAATGATCTCAATTTTAGTTAAATTACCTCAAGCCTCATGAAAAAAGTTTCAAAATCACTATTCCAATGGGGTGCCATCACTAAAAAAATGATTACAACAGCAAAGACATATTAAGTTCTAGTTCAGGTAGTTATTTCCAGAGAGGAATAGAACTAGGACTATTTTGTTTATTGACATGAGGTACTAATAATATTGCTTTGACCTGTCAGAATTATGGCAAGTATGAATAAAGGGTCAATGGCAGAGAAGAGAGAGGAGAACTGTAAGTTATAAAATGAAAAATGGTTAACTTAAAGAGTTTTTCCTTCTTTAAATTTTTAGTTTTCTTTAAATTTTCTTTTTAATTTAGCAATGTGTTTTGCTTTTAAGTTAACAGAAACTGGCCAGAACAATACAACAGATAATGGCCTGATGAATTCTTATATTGAAAAAATAATTTGGGGACAATGCCAGTGCAGTAGAATGTTGACTGTAGGGTAACAGCTTAATGTGGTATTATAAACATTGAAAATATATATGAAACAAAGACTGCCTCACAAACAATAAATAAAGTTTATGGATTCCCCCACTATACAATGCATGCACACTCATGTGCACATGCACGCACACATGCACCACAAACTACACATGGCACAATTTAAGTCCTGTTTAACAAAACCTGGGATTCAAGGAACATATAGCAAGGACTCATGGACAAAACCAAAGGGGAAGAGCTGAGGGAGGGAAGGAGGGAGGCGGCAAGGGAAAGTGGTGGGGGGTAGGCAGAGACAAATGTATTTGGGAAAAAAAACAAAAAAACACCCCCCCCCCCCAAAAAAAAACAAGAAAGCCTGGGATTCTGGCAATCGGAATGGGGGTAGGCAGGAAGAGTCCAGGGACTCAAGGATGCCTGGGGAACTGGGCCTACCTGAAGCACTTCTCTCCTACTGATTCTTTCCCACTGGGAAAACCTAATGACCCACCTCAATCCCACCTCAATATTCAGCATGACTTGTGACCAAGATCCAAATGTGATTTGGGGCTAAAGGCAGTAGTCAAAAATTGTAGAGGGGAGGGATCAACTGTACCAGAATGAACCGTAATAATTATCCATGCTATACTAGAAGAAGTCAGGAAAGACTATGCATAGACTTGCAAGTGCTTGACAAGGGAGTAAAATACCAATTTGGATCATGCAGAATTAGTTGCCATGGTGAGGCCTCATCTGAGACACTGTGTTCAATATGTTAGCGTAGGACGAAACTCTAATGATTTGTTGGGTTGGCTGATATAAGCCTGAGCCTAGCACTGGCCCATTCTGCAAAAAAAGGTAACTGACGGTAAAAACACACAAAGTGAAGCAGACACTGAGAGAATGGCAGGAACTTAGACCATCTAAGCATTTATGCTGCCGAGGCGCCACAGGAGGACATGGTCCCGCAGAGCTGTTTTAAAACGTGAATGGTAGTGTGTCCTGGATGCCCATCAGGTTCCTCTCCCTTGCCTCCACGAGAATCCTTACTCAAGACAAAGCAAAATGTCACTGAAGATAGTATATGGTCACAACCTGCTCCCTGGAGCCAGTGCAGATGGAGAAATGAAAAGTAGAGCAAGAGAGGAGAGACAAGTGGGGCATGTGGTTGTATGTTTTTATTGATTTCTCTTATTTCTGAAAACTTTCCAATCTGGTTCTGAAACAAGGTGTTTTCATAATTCTTTTCTTTCCTAGAATAATTCATAATCTGACGGAACTGAAAAAAATTAGAGCTCATTTAGCACATTAAAAGGGAGTTGAGAAAATGGAGGACCATAAAGAGATTTCCTTTTTATTCCATTTCCATCAGTGATTCTCTTTTTCCCACCATTTAATGGGTGGATGTTCTTGAATAATCTGACCCCTTTCTCCCTCTAGAATCATAATTTCAGCCTCCAGTTATACACAGATCCCATCTTACATTTTATCCTAAGTGCTGGATTCTTCTCCTCCCTATAAGATAAGACGTTCAACTATCTAGGGAATGTATACTTGTAAGTTTCACCAGTACCTAAAACTCAACATGGTTAGAATGGTAATCACTCTCCTTCACCCCTCCCCAGCCTCTCCATCACTATTATCAGCATTAGCATTTTTAAAGGTCCCTTGTCTTAAACTGTTTTAATTTCAAAATATTTCAATCATGCAAAAAGTGCAAAGAATAAAATAACAAATATGTCCCTATTATCCAGACTTAATACTTTGTCATATTTGCTTCAGACTTGAAAACATTTTTACCGATCCAGCTGGAAGTTCCCTATACCATTCAATTTGCTTCCTCCGAAGAGGTAGCCCCTGCTCTGAAGTCAGTTCCTCCCAGGAGCACACCCTGAGACAAAGGCTGGTGAGCACACAGAACTGATGTGGGAGGTGCAGGGACACTGGCAAGAAAGTTGGGAGGTGGTTCGGGGAGAGAAGGCAGCCAGGAGTGCCCACTGTTAAGCCAGCTTGCACTGTGGGCAACCGCAGCTTCCTCCTCAGGGCAGCTCTAGGACACGGTATAAAACACACCTCAGAACTGTCTCGGTCAATGGTGATGTGTGAGAAGCATTTATCCCCTCGTATCCATTGGTCATTGGGTTGCTGGGGTGGGTGGGTGTTTCCAGTCCTCTGTGTGAGGGAGCAAAGCAGGTTCTGGCGGCACAGTTTTTGACAAAGGTGCTGGCTGCTGGAAGTTAGGCTGATGAGCACAAAAATAAGGGAACACGGGGGACGTGGGCAGAGCACTGACAGCGCCTGTGACAGTGCGTATCCATCCTGCTGACACTGTTCTGCCCTTCCCGCAGTTGTAAACACCATCAGCTTCTGACATTATATGATATTGTGGCTAACGTGAGCAATAATGAGAATGTGGGGAAGGGCAGCGAGGAATATAAATAATATACACCAGTCAACATAGAAAAGGAAGGTAGTTTGGGAACATAACTTCAGTTCAAAGAGTTGTTTAACTATTTATTGAATTTATATCCCGTGCCTGATTGATCTCCACTTAACAGAAAATAAGGAAAAGAAATAAAATGCACACCACAATTTATGTTTGTTTGGTTCCATGCTTCACTAGACTTGGACAAAATTTGATTTTTCCCTCCCTACACCCCCTACTTTAAGACTGCAGGGTTGTTAGGTTTAAACTGTGATTGATATATAACATTACAGGTCTTTGCTAAGAATATATACAATCAAGAAAGTCTCAGAATAGCATTTTCTTATTAGCTCCAACCCACTAGTCTTCTCCTGGAGGAAGGAAGGTGTGTGTTTATGTGTGTGTGCGCGCACATGATGCATAATGAAGACAAATTTCAACCTGGGCAACCATCTGGGCAATGAGCCTGCAGTGATGCTCTCAGTCATTTAGCAAAGCCAGGAATAATTTGCCTTCTTTGTGCCTCCAACCAACAAGACTCCTGATTTAACAAAATAAAACTACAAAACAATATTTCCTATTTCCTTTTGCAGAAATCAAAGGATTAAAAGACAATCTTTAATAATATTCCTCATATATTCTATTATTGGAAAAACACAGAGCTCCTTTGTTAGAACCAGCAGACAGAAAAATCATGTCACACGTGGAAAGATCCAATAATCCAATAGGATCCTTCTGAAGAATCAGAACAAATAGTCACTTTTAAAGCAGATCCCGCAAAGCAGGAAAAAATTAAAAAAAAAAAAATCTCATATTGAAATTCAAGGAGACACCTACCAAATTTATTTCAAATAAGGAATTCATTCCAGAGTTTGAAAACCCCATGGAGACAGTGAACAACTGAGTGGATTTAGATCACAGGTAAAATATATTGATTAAAAAAAAACCTTCTGGAAACAGCATAAAATTTACATTTAAAAGAGAGGTAATGCTTTCATACAGTAATTCTCTACTGTTTCTTTACCTAGTCTATTTCCATAGGAAAACAAGCCTTATGAAAATAAGAAAGAAAATATATTATGCACCACAGCCTTCAAGCAATGAGTAGGATCAGGAACAGAGAAAGAGCAAGTGTTAGGAAAATAGAAAAGAAAATATATTATGTATCATAACATGTAAGCAGTGAACAGAATGAGGAATAGAGAAAGATCACAGAGAATGCAGAGTCTTTACCCTTTAAAAAATGCCTTCGTTAATCTATTGGAAGATTTGGATTCCCCTCAGAAAATTATACATTTGTATAAGCATAAGATTGGCATAAAATTTGAAGAATTCATGGGAATCCTAAAGCCCCAAAGGTATTAGTGATCAGACTATCAGCCCACAAAGTGGTTCGTGAACACCATTTACCCTTTTACTCAGAGAGAAGCAGAGCACTTACATTGTATAGAGGGATAGTCTTCATCACCTTGTACTGCTTAGTGGGATCCATTTTATACAGGTGACGATCAGTGACAAAAATTGCTCGGTCTTCCACCTTACTAAATCGATTGACCTGAAAGAAAACCAATCAATAGCTGTATCATCTCATGAAGAATGAAGTCAAATTATCTGCCAGGCGCAGGCCTAGGGGCCAGGGGGCAGACCGGAGACGCGCTCTGTGATAGATGGGCGCTGTGGCCGGCCGCTCTGCTGGGTGCAGCAGAAATCTAAAAGGGGCAGCCGTTTCCAGATTTGTAGAATTTTACAATTTCAATGTCAAGACTTCACAATTTACCGGGGAAAACAAGAAAAACACAAAATAACGAAAAGATGGAAAACCCACAGAATAGGAGAAAATTTTTATGAATAATGTATCTGATAAGGGACTTGTATGTAGAACATATAAAGAACAGAATATATATTGTATCTATAATACATAACTCGATAATAAAAGGTCAAAAACCCAATTAAAAATGGGTTAAGAATCTGAATAAACATTTCTCCAGAGACGATACACGAATAGCCAATAAGCACATGAAAACATGTTGGTTACCATTAGCCGCCAAGGAACTGTAAATGAGTTCCACTTTGTATCCATTCGGATGACAATTATTAAAAAAGATAGTAATAAATGCTAATCAGAATGTAGAGAAACTGGAGCCCTCATCACTACTGGTGGGACTATAAAATGATGGAGCTGCTTTGGAAACAGTCTGGCAGCTCCTTAACCAGATAAATGTAGCCATATGACCCAGAAATTTCACTCCTAGGTATGTACAATCACACAAAAACTTGTCCCTGAATGTTCACAGCAGCATTAGTCATAGTAACTGAAAAACGTAGAAACAACTCAAATGTCAACCAACTGACGAATGGATAAATAAAATGTGATATATCCACACAATGGATTATATCCATTATATTAAGTTGGCAATAAAAAAATGAAGAATTGATACATGCTATAACATGGATGAGCCTTGTAAACATGTTACGTAAAATAAACCAGTACACAATCAATTTGTATGACTCCATTGTATGAAATGTCCAGGATAAGCAGATCTATACAAACAGAATATAGCCTAGTGGTTCTGTAGGGCTGGGGAGGTGGGGGTTTGGACGAATGACAGCTAAGGAGTGTGTTGTTTCTTTTCAGGATAATAACAGTGTTCAAAAATTGACTGTGGTAATGGACACCCAACTAATTCCATTATAAAACCTAGTATAGTAAAAAGTGATCACTGTTTTCTATGAACTTCTATTCCACAGTTGCAGAATGAAAAAAAAATATACATGGAATTAAGAATGAAATAAAAAGCTAACATTGAAACCACTCGGCTTAAGTGCTTTTGCTAACGCAAAACACTGGACACATCATTACTTGTTTGGAAAGAAGGATAGGAAAGAAGGTGATGTTTTTAAATACCAACACAATTAAGTTACATCTGTCCTTAGTCTGTATCTTCTCATTATGAAGTTGAGTTACTCTCTACATCTCTATTAAAAGTACAAATTTTCCACTTAATAATTGGAAAGCTTGAATAATTTCAAGGACAGTTGACGTGTCATTTTTAGACCCTGATGCTTGTTATAAAAAATACCTGTTAAAACAGTTTGTGTAGAATACTGTGTCTTATTATTCATTTATTTTTAAAAATCCTCACCCACGGATGTGTTTATTGATTTGGAGAGAAAGGGGGAAAAGAGAGAGAAAAAGAAACAGTGATGTGAGAAACATCGCACGGCTGCTTCCCAACTGAGCCAGCTGCCTGGGCAGGACATCGGGGTTTTTAACTTACTGTATGTTTGGCAAGAGGTTGGTTTTACTTATTAATTTTGTGATAATTAATCTAATGACTATAACCTAATATAGGCCTAATTCAGTCAATATAAAAGGTATATATAGATTGTTTTAAATTGGAAATATATCAAAAAAGCTGCTTTCCTTGTAAAACAGTTATAAATAAGTTATCAGAATAGTTGTAAAAAAGACTAGCAACTTTGCTTTACAACGAAGTAAAAATCTTAACATAAAACAGTATGATTCCTTTTTTTAATGAGGGTCAAGAAACCGCAAAACTGTGTGGTAAAGGGAACCAGGGTAGCGATTGCCTTTGGTGGGGGTGGGATGCAGCTGGGAAGGGACATGAGGGGGCTTTTCGGGGTGATAGAAACGTTCTATATCTTGATAGGGTGTCTGTACTACTTAAAACTCACTGAACTCCATACTTCCGATAATGTGTATTACCTGTATATAAATTATATACCTCGATACAAATACACAGACAAAACAATGTAGAATCTCAAATATCCATGACAGATTTTTATTTGTTGCCCTATTATTTCATGAACAGTAAGCTCCTTGAGGGTTGTGATCATATGGTGCCTCTGACCTTGTACCTCACAGATCCCAATACAGAAGTGGGCAACCTACAGAGCATTTACTACATCATCCTTGCTGATCGGATGGTTTTGAGAGTCATTTAAATGCCACAGGGTAATTTCAAGAACTGTTCTCCGCGAGCCAACCATTGTTGATGCTGGGAACTGTCAGATGGGGAAACAGAGGAAAATGGCTGCAACAGGCTGGGAGGTTGCATAATGTTAAAAAAAAAACTCCCCAATGGCAAATAAAAGCACAGTTGCTCAACAGCTTAAGCCCCCCATTGCCCAGTCGGGTCCCAGAAAACCTTTATTTCTGTACTGAAGAAAAAGGAACTGTGGGCTTCTTGCTTTTTTATATCTGAGGTTGCAAGCTCCTTTATGAGTAGGCTATCTCTTTAATAAAAAAGCTCTCTAACATTAGCAGGTACTATGTAAGCTCATGTATTGCTGATTTGGAATTATTTATTCTCCTGGTTGGAATTGTTGAGATTTATTTGTATATTGGTTTTTCTCATAAAGTGTCTTCTCCATTGACTTAATTTTTCCCTTCACAGTCGAAGTTTCACGACCAGCCATCACTACAAGGCCGTGCACACAGCGTGCTGGCAGACCAGACCAACTGGCCTGAGTGAAACTGACCTAGAGAAACATATCCGTGCCTGTATTTGTGATGCTGTATTACTTGGTAACAGCTACTCTTACAAAATCTTTAGGCTCACCATTTCATTGAGAAACATGTCCTCCTATAATCAGAAACCTGTAAATGGGGTTGAATTTATTTTTTCTACATTTGTTAATCCAGCACAAGACTCCTATTAATTTAAAGAAATTATACTGGTAAACACTTACTCAGATTAAGTAATTTGATAAATGTTTTCTTTCCCAAAATTTACAATGTGCATTTTCAAGCACTTTGTAAGTTGCTGATGATATAAAAAGGAATGACATAAAGGCTTTGGTTACAGTAAGGATTTGAGACTAGTAGATGGAGTTGAGACAAATAAGAAGTGTGCAAGAGAAAATAATTTATTACAATGTATAAAGAAAATAAAACTAGGTAATAAGATTGGGAAAAAATGTATGTATGCATGATTCTGTAGAGTGCTACTTTATTAGAGTCAGAAAATGCTCACATTTGCAGGAAAGTCTTTTTTCTAACAGAATTAATGAAGAAACATTGTATAAATATGTAGTTCACTACTTGCTGATTAGCATGTTTCAATGTTAGATTTGGGCAACATTTAAATCAAGGTACTGAACACTAAAAATTTCTGAGGAACTACAAGTTCAGGTTTCTCAGTGATGAGAAGAAAAAGAAAAGCAAAACAAAGAACCCACCAAAACTCCTCAACTAAGTAGAACAGAAGGCACAGTTGTGATATATAAATTCCCCATCCCTGCTTCCAAGATCTAATTTTCAAGATGCAAACAAAGAAGTTAGAGATTCATTTGAAAACGCCATTAGTGTTGGTAGGATATATACTTAAGTAAATAAATTAGGACAGGTAGGATGGGGCATTGAAGGTAGACTACAGCAAACTAAAATTCAAGTTTTAGTTTGCATTTTATTCAGTTTTCTACCTCTTGCCTCATAGCTTTAGAAGTCAGTCAATTCTCTAAACATTTCCTCATAACCAAAGTATATTTTTTGTCTTGACAAAGATGGCATCTGTAATTAAGAGTACAATAGAGTTGACATGGTGAAATAATAACTACTCTTGGTAATAACTATTCACATCACATGGTAACAATTTTTGCCATAGAACTGAACTGGCACTTGTCAGAAGACTTGAAACAAGTGATGGGAGAGCTCCTCCATCAGCATTTTCTAAGTTGTTTAGCACAATACTAGCCTTATGTGATACTTGGTGCAAGAAAGGGTTTCAAGTTAAGTTGGTTTGAGGAAAAATGCAAACCACAGCTTTCCCTGGGATATTCATAACCCACGAATACATTTAAAGGCTCTGAGATGGCTGTACTCAAAGGGTATGTTCAACGATTTAATCCAGCATTTCCCAAATTAGGGCCCCCTTTCCGAAAACAAATTCAGATTCAACAGAAGGCTGGTTTGTGAAACCCATGTGGGAGAACATTAATCATCATTTGTGTCCATTTTAGAATATGGAGAATAGAGAACATCTAAGATGAAATCTGAATAATAATCAAAGGCAGTGTTCCTCATCTTTTGTGAATTCCTATTGAAAAATATGAATATGTTGCAAAAAACAACTTTTTTGCATAGTTCCACAAGGTCATGCCAGAGATGAAAACAATAGATCACAGTGGTAAAGTGGAGAGTATTGTCCTTTCTATGACATGTCTATGAGTTAATCTGCAAACCAAGAAACAAAAACCTCAAGGCAGCAATTCTACTGAAACTGTTTAGAAATATTACATTTTTTTTGTATGCAAAAATGTAACTTCTAAAGAGAACAGGTCATGAATCTTTACCTTCTGTTTTAGCAACTCAAATCATCCTTAAAACATGATCAAGTGAGTGGGAAGGACCTCGGTAACAAAGGAAAAGCTTTGTTGCATAATTTAGCTAAACAAAATGGAAAGAAAAACTTTTCATATACATATGTAAATTTGTGAACTCAAACTAAATTAAAGTAATTATCACATAGGGACACTAATTTTCTTCCATTTAAATTCATGAAGTAATAGAAAAACTGGATTACAGACTCAGTATTAGATAAGATTTCATCTTATTTCTTCTACTGCCTAAACTAAAATCCTCAACTACAGAAAAAAAAAATCCCTACCATCTTGCTTTTGCCCAAACACTTCTAATGATCTGTTTATAGGTTTAGTAAGCACCACAGGGGGCCAGAGATGAAGTTTCCCTGGAGAGTGAGACTAGGAGAAAACATAGGAGTGAGAGCAGTTATTTGTAGAAGTCTCCTGCCTTAAAGGACAGTTTATGACCGTAGTTAACAGAAAGTAGCTGCTTCATAAAGAATCACAGCATAAAGAAGTAGGCTTTACTGAAATGGTATCAAGTTTATGCTGGTACATTCTTGGGATTAAAAAGATTCTAAAGAGGACCTGATTCTCAAGTGGAGAAATATTATTTTGTATTGAACTTAAAATACAGGAACATGACAAAGAAGTTTTCAGTTTTTATCCAGCAGGATCCAGGGAAAGACATCCTGTTAGACATTAAATTGTCATCACTGGAAAGATGAAATCAGAGTCAGCAGGCTTTTCCGTAGTGGAGAATGACTGTCAAAACCACCCAACTGTCTACTCAATTGTCTGATTAATAATTTGACTTCGCAGGTATCTTGATTCTAAAAAGGAAGAATCCTAGATAGCAGAAATGAGGATGCACTGAAATGGCTGAAATGGTAGATCTCTTCATGGTTCCGTGCATCTGGTTAGCCAATGTCATTTCCTGATTGGCTGATCAACTCTAGGTGCACTTGCAAACTAGAGTTTCTGAATTTAGGAGTCTGGAATTAGTCTTGGGACTTTGGTAGCCACTCTGAGATAGCACCAGCAAGCTTTCCTTGACAACATTTACCACATTTTGCCAATGTATAATGTGCACCCACAGTTTTCTGCACACTATACACAGGATTATTATACCCATGTATAATGCTCATCCTTATTTCCCCTGCCAAAAATTTGGGCAAAACGTGCGCATCATACATGGCAAAATATGGTATTTCATTCTAAGTTTAAAACCAACTGCTCTCTATTTAGTTAATAAGTTTATATTACATTGAATTGATGATCTCTTCTTCCTTAGAATGTCTGAACACTAATAGTTATTTTTTTTGGAACTACATGAATAAAGTTTAATCTCTTTCTTCTATTATACTATTTGGCCATTCCAACTAAAGATTTGTCAGTTTTGTTGATCTTTAAACCAATTTTTGTTTTTTTTTGCCTTTTTCCTATTATTTTTGTATTCTCTATTTTTTTGATTTCTGCGCTAATCTTTTTCCTTCTCCTGCTTGCTTTGGGTTTGCTTTTTTTTTTTTTTTTAAAACAGTGTCTTAATGTCAAAGATTATAGATATGAGATCTTTTATCTTTTCTATTGCAGGAATTACATTTCCCTCTAAGACGGCTTCAGCTGCATCCCGTAAGTTTTGGTATGTTGTGTCTTCTTTTCCAAGTGTTCTCATTTTCCTGTGATTTCCTATTTGACCATTGGTTATTCAGGAGTGTGTTATTTAATTCCCACCTATTTGTGCACCTCCTAAATTGCCTTCTGTTATTGGTTCCTAATTTCACTCCGTTATGGTTAGAGAACACACTTTGTATGATTTCAACCCTTCTAAATTTATTGAGGCTTGCTTTATGGCCTACCAACAGTGATCCCCTAAACTCTTGCAAACACTAGTTATTATCAGCATTTTAAAGTTTGCCAAATTATAGTTGAAAAATTGTATTTCATTATTTTGATCTGAATAACACTATATGTATTTTTTTAAAATTTGAAACAAAATACCCCTAAAGTCACCTAAACCTGGACCTCTATTGTGAGGTCACTTTTTAATATTTTCTTAATTCCAACTTTGGATACTGGTGTATTTATATCAGTATCTCTTCTGAGGTCATTCTAGGCAATATTTTTCTTAAATTCGCCCATTTAATATTTTAAAATTTATTTGCATAGTTTTACAAAATGCTCTTTTATAATTATTTTAATTTCCTCTTTTTCTCCTTTTCTAAAAAAAGTATCTTAGGTTTGAAAAACCAGCTATGCCCCTTGCCTTCCACTTTCTGGCCTGCACCTGTTCCACTGGCCCAGCTGCTATTGTCTCCACATAAATAATTGTCCACACACATCCTGCTTTGGAAAAGCAAATATATTCACAGGATATAACCCTTTCTCTGTCCCTTCCAAATCTCACTATGTCCTTCACTCTTTTCCAAACTATGTTCTTCCTCCTTCTCCCCCTATTTAAAATAGTAATAAAACACGTATAAAAAGTCCTTGATGACCATTAAATACAAGGCAAACCAGTATGTGCTGTGAAAGATACACATGCAGTAAAACACAATCCTTGACCCCTCCCCTCCCCTGTTTTTTAAAAGAAATGGATATCAAAACTACCCACTTCCCTTGAGAAGGCTTTATAGCCCATCTCTAAAGCTGTAGCCATCTCAGATCTTCCATCAATGCCCCCGCCCCAGACAGTAAGTATAGCTCACCAACAACGTAGCTAATTATGATTTACTGTTATGTTTTACTGAAGTCATTTCCAAGTAATTTTCGTCTGAATCAGGCTCTTCCTTCCAAAGATCTGTTTCAAGATCGCCTTACCTTGCGGACATGACAGGAAAAGAGGACGTTCATGTATTTGTCCTTCCGTTTCAGTTCATTTGCAACGGGGACAAAAGTGCCTGAGGTCTGAGGTGTATCTGGCTTCTGAAAGAAAAAGGAAATGCGATAAAATGCCTATGCTTAGCAATTTGGATGAAAAGGCGAGCTTTTAATATACAGTTTTATTATTATGCTCATGAAGTTCCACACACATACTTTTTATCTCCCCATCCCAGATGGTACGCTACTAAAAAGTCATTTTAACACCAAAGGTCCTAGAAACATTTTTTAAAAAGGAATGGGAGAGAAGGTGAAATGTAGCTTTGGGAATAATCAATATAAAGGTGGTAGTTAAAAATAGTTGCTGAAATATGCAAGGGAAGGTTTAAATGGTCAAAGCCAGGTTACAGAGCATACCTAATACAGACAGAAGACAGAGCACCCTTTTTAAAGTGGGGGAAACCTCAAATATTGTACACCGAGAAGCAATAAAATGTTTTAATTTAGTGTCATTCACAGAAACTTAATTTCTGAAGGTGTCAGTCTTTCTATAATTCTTGGAGAAATATTCTTTTCTTTTCTTGTTAAGGGAGACAGTGATTCCACTGGGTTCTCCTGGACTCACCGAAGCAAGGTAGTTGCCCTCCCAGGCCCTTTGGAGCCCAAGGTCAGCCCTTTGACCCTTCAACATTTCCATGGCCGCAACCTTTGCCCTGACCTGGGGCAGGTCTGATGCAGGTATGCTCTTGATGAGCTGAGATGCTCTCCATCTACAAGTAAATAAATAAAATGCATTAGACTTCAGAAACACAATGCCATTCATCTCAAAAACAAGAATCTGTCATTAGGCAGAATTAACCAAATTACCTGTATGCTACCCTAAAAAAAGTAAAATGCCTCCAAAATATACACAGCAATTATGAAAATAACAGTTTTATGTGCACAGAGATGTCTGTGAAACTTGCTTTGTGGGGTGTGTGATCTGAAAACAAGTAGAATTTAGTGAACATGGACTCCCATAAGAGACATAGTTAGGGCACAGCTCCTTTGGATTCATCATTCATTCATTCAGCACATGCTTCTAGGCATCAGCTAAACTCCAGACGCTGTTGTAAGCAGTGGGGGCGCAGCAGTGAACAAACAGACGAAGGTCCCTTCTGCTAGGCGCTTCTTCTCTAGAGTGCATAGAGACGGTAAACAAGGCAATAGCATGTGCCAGCGCGGGGGCGGGGGGCAAAACACCCTGGAATTTATTTACAAAACATTGTGTATGTATTCTTACATGTTTACACTTCAGTCACCTTCAAAGTCCTCTCCATGTGATGCAATGCACCTATCGAGATGCTTTTTTCCACTGCTCAAAGCAGTTTCTGAACTCGTTGATTCTGATGCCTTTTAGAGCGGCTGCCATTTTTTTTGTTTCACCTCTTCCACATCAGCAAAACATTTCCCTTTGAGGACTTTTTTCCATTAGGGAAACAAAAAAAGTGTTGCTTGGCATGAGACTGGGTAAATAGGGAGGGTGTGGCACGGGAGTCAGGCCATTTTTGGTCAATAACTGCTGAACACTCAGCGCAGTGTGGGCAGGTGTGTTCCGAAATCACCCAACATGAAATGGGCGAAAGCGCTGAAAGAGTCTTAAAAAAAAATTCACTGAAGCCAAACACAGCCTCTCAAAATGCCAGCTGGTACACCGATAAAGGTGTGTTCCTAGAACACTCACCTACCACAGGAAGCCTGTACTACAAGGGGCTCGCCCTCAAGAAGATAATTCTGTTTTTTTGGGGGGGGTTCCCCCTCATATGATGCCATAGGTGCTATGAAGAAAATAAGGCAGGGAAAGGAGGCCAGGTGTGCAGCAGGGGGAAGGAACAGGGACCTGGGTTATTTACAAAGGGTGGCCTGGGAGGCACCGCTGATAAGGATACCTGAGCAGAGACCTACAGGAAGCAAAGGAGCCAGGTGTATAGCTGCTTGAGCAAGAGTCTCCCAGAAAGAGGAAATAATGAGTGTAAAGGCTGTCAAGTGTGTCCTTGCTTGGTATATTGGAGCACCAGCCAAGAGTCCTTTATGCTGGCGCAGGATGAGCGGGGGCTGGGGGTGGGGAAAAGGAGGGGCGGTCAGACGGAGAGCCAGGGCCAGCACCCACAGAGCCAGGTAGGTCGTTATCAGGACTCTGGCCTTTACTTTGAATAGGGTGAGACGCCATTGGAAGCTTTTGAACAAAAAAGGGATAAAATCTGACTTCCACTTTATAAGAATGCTCCGCTTGCTGTATGAAGAAAGGATGAAGGCAACTGGGCTAGGAACAGGATGACCAGTTAGGAGGCTACTATTTCCATAACGCACGTTGTAGAGGATGGTGGCTTGGATTCGGGAGGTCGAGGCAGAGACAGGTACTGGTTCTGGATATGTTCTGAAGGAGCACCAACAGGGCTTACTGATGGATTAAATGTGGGAGCAAGAGATCGAGAGAATGAGAGGATTTAAAGAGGAATCCAAGGTTTTTTGTCTAAGCAATTAAAAGCATAAGCTATAAACAAGCTTCCTGATTAAGAAAAGTAAGTACAAGGTCTGTTATGCCCTTAGCAGCAGCCTAGTCCTGTATGATACTTATGCTCTGTTCCACCACAGGAGCGGGGCACAGGGAGGCTGGAAGCAAACAGAATTTCCTTACATCAGACGAAATAATCAAGACCAGTGGTTCTCGAACTTTGCTTCCATGGAACACCAGAATGAGATTCAACTAAAATTGAAAAGCAGTAATCTTTTCCCCATTTATATACACAAAAGGTTAGAGAGATTGGTTTCACTTAAGATTTTCCTGAGGTGTATTCTTGTTTCAGGATGGTGGCTGGAGCCTAAATGTTTTTTCTCTCTCTCAAATTTCCACTGAAATAACTGAATGAATATAAAAATAAGGAAAAATCTATACACCACCAGAAAATGGGAGTGCTGTCAACAGGCTGGAGGGAGTGAAGACTTTCCGGAAGAAATGAAGCAGATGGGGTTGAGCTGACGGAGAAGCGGCTCCGTGCTGAGCAATCCACTCAGCAGAAGGAGATGGGCCCTTCTCCAAGGTGGCCCCAGGAATCCTTGAGCCCGAAGCAGCAGGGGCTGGGAGCAAGGGCAAGCGGTAAAGGATTTCAAGGTGAGGGCTGTTCCAGTTCCCTGAACACAGAATGGCTGGCCGTGGGGAGAGGAGGACAGCTACCATGGCAGAGAGGGTCAGAGGTAGTAGGTTGCCAAAGCAACAACCATGGAAAAAGTGACGGCTCAACACAACAGCGAAATCCTCTTCTCTACTTTCTATGGCCAAGAAACACTCCAGTGGGGCAGACGGTCCTAAGGCCATTCCCAAAGAAGCTGAAAGAATGACAGGTGGAGAGCAGTGTGGTCAAAGCCAAGGACACTAAGGACAGGGAGGCCCTACAATACTGCATAGCATGTTAAGCAACTGCCCCAATTAGGCCCTGACCCCAAGTTTCATTCTCAGTGGGGAGAGGTCCTTGCTCTGTCTGTCGGTCTGTTTTCGGCCTATGTGCCTGGTCAGCCTGCACCTTCCTCACTGCCCACAGTGGCCCAGGACAAGGTCCATACCTGTCTGACTCCAAAGGCATGCTGGGTAATTTGGAAGCTGACTGACACAACCATGGAGAGAACCACACAGACTGCTTATCCTATTGAGCAAACCTCCAACAGAAAATATGTGTAACAGACAACAAAGCTGCAGCCACAAAAATGACCAGCCTTGGTGACATGAAAAAGGGGATGAGGCTGGGCACAAACCAGGGTCCCAGCTGTCCCAGAATGAACAGTTACTATGAGGAACAGAGTGAGTTTACACACAATCAGGCATGCACTGAGATCTTAGAAGAAGACCAGACCCCACAATCACAGTGGAATCCTTTAACACACGTCTCTCAGTACTCCACAGACCAAAACATCCAAGAATACATTAAACAGAATATAAAGACTAGGTTAGGGGTTGGCAAACTAAAGCCTGTGCCAAATTTGGCCCATGGCCTGGTTTTGTATTCTCAAGCTAAGAATAGTTTTACATGTTTAACAAAACCAAACCAAAACAAGGTAAAATATGTGACAAAGACCACATGAATATAGCCCACAAAGCCTAAGCAAATTACTATCTGGCTCTTTACAGAAAAAGTTTGCCTTTGGATAGATCAACACAACTAGCTAGGCTCATTCTGAGTGGGTGTACGTGCATGTGTTTGTGATCGACAAACTGAGCAGACACATTATTTTCAAGATGCTCACTGACTATAAGCCCCGAGACGGCTGGAACTGTCTTTTGCGTCTTGACTGTCACCATACCCCTGGAACCTAGGTCAGTGCCTGTGGCACAGCAGGGATGGAGTATATGTCTCCTGAATAAATTAAATTTTATGAAAGTTAATCAATTCTTGGCCATACATAAAACCTCAAAAATCTAAGGAAAACCATACAGGCCACAGCGCAACATAATCAAAATCAGTAATTCTTTGCATCCATTAAAAATATTACATAGATCTTTATTTATTGTCATGGACAGGTCTTCAACACAGATTTATTTATTTCTTTATTCTCACCCAAGGACATTTTTTCATTGCTTTTTAGAGAGAGAGGAAGGGAGAAACAAATGAAAAGGAGAGGGAGAAGCAGTGATCGGCCACCTCCTGGACATGCCCCTACCGGGGGTGGAACCTGTAGCCTTTCAGTGTATTGGATGATGCTCCAGCCAACCGAGCCACACTGGCCAGAACTGCAAGAGTGATTTTTAAATCAAGTCATATAACCATATATATATAATCTTGCCTGTATACCAAAAGAGCGGGAAAAAGCCAATATGTGACTCTGTACACACACACACTCTTATAGTAAGAGCCAATATTTCCCAAGTTCTTATTATGTGTCAGGCACTATCTGAAATGCTTTCTATACATATTTACTCATAATCCTTTCAACAATTCTATGAGCAGGCACTATTATTATAGCCCTTTTACAGGTAAGGAAACTGAGGCGCAGAGAGGTTAGCTAATTTCCCCAAGGTTACACATCTAGTCAGCGGCAGAGCTCAAATAAGGGCCCAGGCTCCAGGGCTTATGCTCCTCGCCACTGTGTCACGCTGTCTGTTACGTGTGTGTGTTTGTAAATGAAGGACAAAGATTTGGAAGGGTAGAAACTAATTGTTAATGAGATTATTTCAGGGGAAAGAAAGAAAATGGGGAGAGACAAGTGGAGGTGTGAACGGTTTCAACTTTATATCCTATATATATACTTTTACATTATTCTGCTTAAAAAATGAGGATGTATTCATGTATCACTTACTTTTTAGATTATGTCAAAAATGCAGGTTGCAGAGAATACAATTCATGAAAAAAATTTTATCTGTGCATTAAAAAGGCTGCCAACTTAGAACTAACATTTACAGTATTATACCTGAGAATTGAGGTGTTTTTGCTTTTGATAATTTTGTACTGTTTGAATTTTTCTTTTCATACACAATCATTTCTTTTGTCAAAAAAAGCAAATGAGATATTCAATATTAAAGTGTTTTCTTCCCACGCACTTTTCTTTATCTTCCAATATCTACTTTACCAATTTACATTCAGTGTCTCAATGACTTCAGTGCTCTATGTGGGACACCATGACACCAAATGGCACACTCGAGGACCATTAGCTTAGTTTATGTGACTAAATAGCTGCATCTAAGACACAGCTAAATATATCTGGTGCATATGGCAACAAACAAGCTAAAAAATGAGGAAATAGGAACTACAAATAACTACATACTCAGATTCAGGGCAGTTTACAAAAAAAATGAAGCTCTGATGGAAAGATACCAAATTTTACATGGGTGCTTACTTGCTTATTATTAATTTATTAATTTAATGTTAGAGAAACGGAGGGAGAAAGGGAGGGAGAGAAACATCAATGTGTAGTTGCCTCTTATGCTCCCCTACTGAGGACCTGGCCTGCAACCCAGTCATGTGCCCTGACTGGGAATTGAACTGGTGGCCCTTTGGTTCGCAGGCAGGTGCTCAATCCAGTGAGCCACACCAGCCAGGGCTTATTTTAAAAAATGTCAGGCTCTAAAACAATTATTTTCTCCCTTGCATTTTAGTATCACCTATGAGACTTTTAAAAGGACCTCTGCTTGGGCCCTACTCCCAGCCCCATTAGACAGGACTTTCTGGGGGTGTCAGTTGGGCAGTGGCATGAATGATAAATTCCTCGTGAATTTAAGGCATAGGATAGAGAGCCATGTTCTGAAGGGGTGAGCAGAAATTTTAGTTTGAGTTATGTGCAGTGATTTTAACAGTTTTTGCTACAAGAAGAAAGTAGAGTTTGCACACCCACAACATCTAAAGTATGGCTTGATGCAGGGGTGGTGGTATACTGCTCTCTTGCTTCAGGAAAAATAAATGGGCAGTTCCATTACTTTCCGAGGGAAAGAGATACCCTTTGAAAGCTACATCTACAAAACCGAAGACATAAGGTAAAAGAAAATGTTCCAACAGCAAATAACTGAGCCAGTATCATGGTCTAAGAATTGTGATTTTATATTGCATATTACGTGTGCTGCCAGAGATGGATGCAGCACATACTAACAATTCTTACCTGTTAAAGACCGCTTGTAGGAGCTCCTCAAAACGGCGAAGAACTTTAGGAGGGGTCGGCCACTTCACGTGCTTCCCATAGTCTTTCATGGTCTTGGCGCCATGGAAGCGTCTGGCCACCTCACGGATGTATGACTTCACTTTGTAGTGCCGGTAGGATCTGATAATTGTCAAGGCTGCCTTGGTCCTCTTGTACCGCATGCGGGCCAGGGTGCCCCGCCACACCTGCAAAAGAGCGGAAAGAAAAAGAAAACATTGCTGGCTGTCCAAGCAGCAGATAATTGTGAAATCAGAGGCTCCTCTACTTATAAATTCAACTGGGGAACTTGCATGTGCCACGAAAATCAGCCCGAGCCAAGGCATGTCAATTCTACCTGCCACCAACAGATGGCGCTGGGAGTCAGGTCCATCATTGTGGTTGACTTGTCTACACTGGAGCGTGGGCTGAATTTGAAGCACAGTCCTGTTTTAATTTTACACTCATGAAAAGAAGAAAGCCAAACTACAAATATCCTTGGATAAATATTTTAAGAGTGTTGAAACAAGCTGAGTCAGAACCAAAACCCATCAACATCTGTAGTTCTCTTACGAAACCTAGTTTTACATAGATTACATACATTGGCAACTAGCGTAATGTCACATTGGATTTACAGACAGATTTATACACTGCCTGGGCAGCCCCTCTCCCAGGTGCTATGAAAACTCCCAAGAATTTAGATGTACTCCTTGGGAAAAGGTAAAACAGATAATACCATATGAACCTTCGTTAAAATCTTTTTGGTGCTCAGAAATCAATCAGACAGTATATAAATGTCTCAATGCCAGCTTTATCCAAGCATAGGGAAGCTGGAGATACTTAAGTATTTTTCAGGATCCTCTGTCCAGGTTCCTATATTTCTCAGTCTCCCAAGTAAAAAGAAATCTGGTATAATCTTCATCACTGGCTCTTCCCCTATATATGTTCTCCACCACCAACCTCTTTCTTCCATACTATTTCCAGCATAAACCTTTTTTCCTTTCTTCTTCCCTTCCCTCCTTCCTTCCTTCCTTCTTTTAAATTTATTGATTGATTTGAGAGAAAGAGAGAGAGGGAGGGAGGGAGTGAGATGGAGAGAAAGGCGGAGGAAAGAGAGAAAGATACGAATTTGTTTTTCCACTCACTTACGCATTCCTTCGTTGACTCTTGCATGTCCCCTGATGGGGATTGAAGCAGCAACCTTGGCGTAGCGGGACGATGCTCTAACCAAGTGAGCTAACCAGTTAGGGCCCTTTCTTCTCTTTGCTGCTATAGTCTCCAATGCCCCACACTACTCTGCTTTCTTTGATAATAAACTCCTTGTACACACCACCATCATGTTCCTGTTATTCACTGCTGCTTCTTAAATGACCATTCCAATTCCCAGACTGATGGTTTTACTTCCCTCCCTGTCTCTGTCCTCTTAGGACCAAGATTTGCAACCTCTAGTTTAAAGTCTACCATATGGGTTCTCTAGACTCGTCAGGTTTCTTTTATTTCTTATTAAATCTCCAACTGTGCCCACAGTTTCTTTCAGAAAAACTCATGCAATGCCTCTTTTATTCAGTCATCTTAGGCGTCTTCAGGCACACTCCTAAATTGGCACCGTGTATTTGCCATGTTCTCCTTTTTTAGCCTGCTGTGCAATAAAGGTAGATTTGTTTGCACACGACATGTGAAGGGGTCAGGACCGAAATGAGGAATTAGCAGGTCAAGAAAAACCATGATATGGAAAGGAAACACAACATGGAAGCAATCTGTGACGGGAACCTAGAGTTCACATATAAACAGAACATATAGACAATGGGGCAATGAAAACTAACTCATCACTGCAGGTGGCATCCATACAGAAATCCTTTTTAGTCAAAATGGCTCTCTTCTTTGCAGCCAAATCCATCCTGCAGATGGCTTTGTTACGCCTCCACCCAAGTGCTAAAATAAAGGTCCCGTCTTTAGCATCTTGAAAAAACCAAAAGAATACAATTACAGGGTGGAAGTCTGTGATTCAGTTTCTCAAAGAAAACACATTTTTAAAGTTTCATGCTGTTTGTTGCCTTTTTTTTTCCCTTAAGAAGAGGGAAATTAAGACTCCCTGGAGCTACATCTATATAGGAAACCAATCTTTAATTTTCAACAAGTGTTTTGCAGAGCTTTTTATTAAAATGTTTTTGGTTAGATTCTTTAGTAATTTGGAAAAAAACATTTTATAAGTGCATTTTAAGGTGTAGGGTGTTTTTATTTTTTGACCACCTTTAAAATTTCATCTGTGTTCTTGGTTTATTTAGGTTTTGTCAAGTTGAAAATCAAATAGTACAAAAATGCGATAAAAAGGTAGCAGCTCCTCTCCTTGACTCCCTGCCTCCCAGTCTAGTCCCATTCCACACAAACTGTTTTAACTGCTTCTTCTGGTATTTACCAATAATACACATGCTTTTATTTCTTGGTTAACCCTTTTGACTCTATCCAAATTACAGAATTGGTGACTTAGCTCTCTCTCGCCATCACTCTAACCTCTCCTTTATCATCCTAATAATAATTGCATTTAAAATTTTAAAGTTGACAGTGTTTACATTATTACATGTTATATTAACTATGCTATATATTTTAGAAATAATTTATGTAGTATATATACTATATTTCATATTATATATTTATTTGATTCACCGGTGTGCCAAGGAGTATAATATGACTACCCTTTCATTACTTTGTCAAGTAAATTTGCTTTTACTTATAGTTAACAGCTGTCTCATTTTAAAAGTCTGCTTTATTTTCTATTCATCTACTGTTAATCTTTGGCAAATGCTGTAACAGACCCATCAAATGATCAGCAATAATTTTTCCAATTGTCAAGCACATCTACTGAATCTCTTTCTTTGATGTTCCTTGTGTCCTTACGCTCTTCAGGCCCACTGCTCTGTGCCTACCTGAGACTTTTAAAACAACTCTTTCATGTTGAGCTTTTGTTTTTCTTTTTCTTAGTTTTCCTCCATCCAACAGCTTCCCAGAAAGGTGCATGGCCAGTAAACTTCTCTTTAATTTGTGAGCACAGAGTAGTTGCTTGGAGCATTATCTGTTTCTTGGGGTGTCAGAGTAGAGTAGATGAAAACTGGCTCTGGACTCAGACCGCCTACGTTCTAGTCCTGGCCCCACCTTTACCAGCTGGGTAAAAGTGAGCAAACTTCTTAACCCCTCTGTGCGTTAGTTTCCCTGTCTGTAACCATGGGGTTGATAATCATGTTTATTTTGGAGTGTTGTGAGGATTAACAGAGTTGATACACATGAAACACTTGCAATAGTGCCTGGTGGGTAGTTGGAACTCAATATGCATTGGTGGTTATGACTACCTGAAATCTTTGTCTTTAGGAGCCTGTGCTCCTTTTTTTTCTTTTTGGTTATGTGCAGATTTTTTTGTCTTAGTCACATGTTAGTGTGACTTGGAAACTCTTAATGAGGGTAAGCCATTTCTTCTCAGGATTCCACTTATCCCAAGTAGTGTTTGATTGGGTATAACTAAGTATATTTTTATTCTTCCACTGATCATGTGGACTGGAGGTTAATGACCGATATGCCTCATCCAGTCTTTCAGTTGCTCAAGCAGAGTGGAGGAGGCACAGCTGGGGCCTTGGGTAGGTTTGGGTCACTAAGTTCCTTCCTTAATACCAATAAAATAAATGCATCAGAGGTTTGCTTCACTGCCTGGGCTGTACCATAGACTTTTGACAGGTTGGATACAGGTATTCTGTTTTCCATGTCTCGTGGAACTTTTCCTTGGTTTGGCTTTAATAATTATTCCTAGCAGATGCTTCCCATGTTCCTTGCCCACATACTGATGTACCAGAGGCAGGAAAGAAGGTAAACTTCTGGACTCTTCTTGTCTCTGGGAAGACATTGTCTTGATGGAAGAAAGGGCCCCCAGTGAAGTATGGGTTATTCCAAGCTTTCCCTCTGGGTTATTTTTACACTTAAAGTAAGAACCTTGAAAAGCAGCGAGACTTTTCAGAATTCCCTCCTGTACTTCTCTACTTCCAGTCTTCTCTTTGAAGAACATTGTGATTTTTTTTTTTAGCACCTTCTTTCAAGTTGGCCCAGTTTTTCTTTTTCTGGATGATACCTCTCAAAGTTTATGGTATGAAGCTGAGATCTCTTTTTGGTTGCAGGATTGATGACATGTTCTGTTATTTTTACATTTTTGTTAATTTCAGCAAATTTGGGGGAAAGGATTTTGTAAACCTGCAGTTTTATTGTCAACTTTACCTGAAGTCCCTTAGGCCTTATTTTTTTTAACATCAGAAAAAAAATAGCACTGGATAACTACAGAGGAGAATGATTTTATGCAAAAAATAATTCATGTATTTTTCCTTGTAATCTAATCTTTTTGGTATGAACAGATATGCTCTCATAAAAAATTGTGTCACTGTATGTGGGAAGGTTGTTGTTGATTTTTCCATCAAGGGTCTGCAGGTTGGAATTTAAGGTAGAAGACGATCTTTCCATTTCCCTCTTGTTTAAAGCAGCTGAAACTGTTGGGTTTTCCAGGAGTCATACAAAGTTTACCTCTGCAGGGCTTTGGCCTGATGATGGAGCATCACAAAGCAGATTATAGTTAATAAGCCAATGCTTAATGTTTGTTTGCATTTGCCTAGGGAGATTCAGCAAAAAACAAGGGAGTCAAAGAGGCCTTTGTTACACCCCATTCACACTGAAAGTGGAACCAACCAGACATTATATGCTTTAGGATATGTAAGGGAGTAGAAGCTGAAAGCTGAAAGAGGTGCAATGGGACCTGGGAGGGGAAGTCAAACAGAAGATGTAAGGTAGACAGGAGAGAGACAAAGGAGAGGGCAAGCAAGTCATTTCTTAGGGAGAAAATACAATAAGAGGCAAACAGGCTGACTCCGCAGGAACAACTGAGGTCTAAAGAGAGAACGTAATGGCAACAACACATGCATCATTGTTATTGAGGTTTGGATCCAGCTCTTCTCTTCAATACTTTGACCCCCCACAGTCAATTCTCAACAGAGCAGCCAAAGTGATCCTTTTAAGACCCAAGTTGGATAATGTCACTTCTCTGCTTAAAGCTCTGCCATGGCTCTCCATTTCCCTCAGAGTGAAGGTCAAAGTCCCTCCCCAGCCTCCAAGGCCCATGCAACCTGGTACCACTGTGTCCTTCACCTCTCCGTTCTCTCCCTTCACTCCAGCCACATGGGCC